CCTCTAATGAACCCATGTTGGTTGCCCCTAAGTATACACTCCCCTTCTTGGCCCTCGCAGATGTTCACCTGGATAATTTTCTCAAAGAGCTTCCCAAGGACTGAGGTAAGACTAACAGACTTATAATTTTCAGGGTCCTCCTTCCTCCCTTTTTTGAAAATGGGGACCACACTGGCCCTTTTCCAGTCCTCTGGCACCTCACCAGAGCACCACAAGTGCTGGTAAAGCTGTGCCAGGGGTTCTACAATGACCTTTGCTAATTCTCACAGCACTTTGAGGTGGAGCTCGTCAGGACCTGCTGATTTGAACACGCCCAGTCCCACCAGAAGTTCCCCGACTAGATCCTCATTGACCCTGCGCCTGGCTGTGCCTCCCCTGGGACCATCACAGATCCCGGTGGGGGGATGACCTGGTCCCTGCTCAGAAAAATGCAGGCAAAGAAATTGTTAAATAGGTTAGCTTTGTCATCGGGTGAGACCAGATTTCCTAGCATGTTCTGCAGAGGCCCCACATTACCCGTAACCTTCTTTTTACCCCCTATGTATTTAAAAAAGGATTTCTCGTTATCCTTGATCTGAGTTGCTAGTTCCAGTTTTATCTCTCCCTTGGCCTTCCTAACAGCTCCCTACAATCCCGAGCACTGGAAGTATAGTCCTCCCTGGTGATGGCCCCTCCCTTCCATTGGGTGTACACCTCCTTCTTAGCTTTGAGACTTGTCTGTCCGTGGGTGAGCTCAGGGACCTGGAGTCTCTGGGGGTGTCTCTCTTCCCCATGAGGCAGGTCAGGATCCTTGGGATAGATTTCAACCCTGAGCTGAGCAGCAGGACAGCATGGGAGAAGGCAGAGGCAAAGGCGAAGCAGAAACGGGCTGTGGAACATGTGCTCCCTCTCCATGACCGGGGCGGGGGGGGCATTGCACTTGTGAAGGTGGTGTTGTTACCAGTGCTTATTTACATTGCACTGGTCTTCCCCCCTTCCAAGCGTGTCACCCACAGGATCCAGGGGAGTATGTGCATTTTCCTCCAGGGCTCCAGATGGGAACAGGTCACCCAGAAGACCTTGTACTAGGACAAGAGGGCCAGGGACAGAGGCATGCCAGACATCCTCCTGTTCCTGTGGACCAAGTATATGAGCCTAATCTGCAAGCTGGTGACCCATGCAGAATCCAAAACCTCTTGCCTCATGAGATATTTTGCAGGGCACATCCTGAGACACTGGGGGATATATACCCCAACCAAGTGTAGCCCGTGGATCATGGACTCACCTTGGTTCTATGAGAACCAAGTGCCTGAACCAGTGCCATAGTTTGTACAACCTGCAAAGCCCAGGCCTAGCAACCATGAGAAATCGCAGGAATATCCAGGAGATTGTGAGGCTCGTGGACCTGCTCCTGGGCAACACATGCCAGGCTGTGTGGGAGCACATCGACCACAAGGAGCTGCACAAAAATCACAAGGACCTGAATGAACTGGCTTATAGCCCATGAAGCTCTACCAGTGATGTCTTAGAGAGAGGGGCAGCTGGGGAGACCCAGCTGCCTGTGGCCCGTCTCCAACTGCCATGGAGTCACTGAGACAATCAACCAACTCCTCTGGCTCTGCACCTGCACCTGCACCTGCACCTGCACCAAAGAGATATGGAAAAAGGTGAAGCAGCTCTACAAAGTGGTGACCGGCATCAGCCATCTAACCAGACAACCGGTGCTGTGCCAGCACCTCAACAAACACCAGGGAAGCCTGTCGCCCCGTTTTGATCAGTTTGCATCCTGCGTCTGGAGTGCCCTGTAGAAGGCCAGGAACCTCCTGTCGTACAGGCACACAGATGTAGAGGTAGTAGGCCGTGTGAAAATGGCTCTGAGGAAACTCCAGACCTACTACCAGAAATCAGTAGTGGAGGATGGACACAGCCAAAGCCACCTGGCACAGAGACATGTGGCACAGGATCATCCAACATCCCCCAAGCAGAGAGGGGAGCAGTGACAGCAAAGAGGAGGAAAGGACAAGAAGAACCAAGGATAGCTACAGTGACAGCAGCAGTGGGACAACAACAGAGAGGACACTTGAACTGAATATAAGACCCCGCAAGTGGGGCAGGGATGGAAGGGAAGTGTTGCCTGGTCTGAGGGAACAGGATTTGCTTGTTTGTTTTGTGTGTCTTGTGCACAATGCGGATATTGCAACAGGTTTGGGTGCGCAGATGCAGTTTTTGTAACAGGTGAAAGTTTGGGGGGGGGGGTGATACTAGGAGTGTAGATATGTGTAACTTTATATAGAGAGAGATATATTTAAAAAAAAAAAGCTTAGTCTATGCTTCCCTGGCAAGGGAAACTGACCATGGAGGTGGTCTTCCTAGTTATTCCCAGGGAAGACCGCTCTCCTGGCATAGGGATAGTACCTGCTAAGGTAATGTATTGTAAAGCTCCCACTTAGCTGCTGGAGTAGGAAGGTTTTGGCTGTAAGTCCACTTTATGGAAATGGGAGACTCCTCCCTGGCTTACAGCTGAGGGCAAACAAAACTCATGGGGATCCAAACCCCAAGCCTCCAGGCTTGGGCCTGCAAATAGGATGCCTGCCAAAGTTTTTGGAAAAATCTGAAACCCCAGATGGCCACTCATGGTTCTGGACTTACTCTTGGATCTGGAATTTGTTTTGGCTAATTTTACCTGGAATACAGAAAATTTAAAAAAAAAAAACCAACAAAAAACAAGTTTCTGCTCTTATCAGTTTAAGCGCTGATACCGCCTCGCTGCTCAGGTCAGTTTCCTTGGGACTGAGGCTTGGCACCAGCTTCATTGGTCCTGGAAGGGTGGTTGAGCTGCTGCCAGCTCCCCTTGGGGGCAGCTGTCTCCGTGGTCCGGATCCGGAGCTGATCTGTAGTTTGCTGGCAGTTGGCTATGCCTGCTCCAGTGCAGAGTGGGGGAGAGGGAGGAGGGTGGGGGGAGGGATCACTGCAGAGGCAGCAGGGCTGGTCAACCCTCTCCAGCTTTGCCAGCTCACCCCAAGGTGGCTTCATTCCACAGCTCGGAGCAAAGTCTGCTCACAGCCCACTCCTGCATCCACACAGGCACTAGCAGAGACAGATGCCTGCAGCCCAATCCACCTTCCTGTCCCTAAACAGTGGCTTCCCTGGCAGCACCCACCTCCACATCTTGCCATGCTGCATGTGGATGGGATGCATGGAGCAGGGCACTGCTGGAGCTGTGGGACTGAAGCTCAGAGCTTGCTGGATTTCAGCCAGGTCTGGGGACTGGCCTTGCTCTCTTCTGCCCCCCAGGGCTTGGTACACAAAGTTGAATGGAGTCCAGCAGTGGCTGCCCACCTAGATGGGCTCAATGCTGGTGGGGAAGGGTGCCCCAGGCTGGAGTTCCTAGATCAGCAGTCTAGAGGCTGGGAAAAATAGAAAAGCTGTGGCTCCAGTCCCTGGGCAGCTCCACTAAGCAGCCAGGGGTGTGAGTCTACAGAACAGGAGGATGGGGAATAAGCCTGTGCGAGTAGCCAGGTATTCAATCCAGCTTCATATCCAGCCACTTCAGATGTCAATGATCTGATCTGGAGCTCCGGATCAGTTTGCCGCTTCGATCTGGCTGAGCTTCCTCGGAGATCCGTCCATAAGCTATAATGGGGGATCAAAGAAATATCTATACCTTTGTTGTTTTGTCTCTGATTTGGGTGAAACGTTCAGGGGTGGTAGCCTCTGCTGAGAGCATGAAGCCTGCCTAGTTTCAAGAAGATAGGTGCAGTGGTTTGGGGGGAACTGCACCCCAAATTCTTGAAAGCAAAACTCATGTCATGTATATATGTTACACCACAGGGGGCTAACAACCACAGAGATGGTAGCCCCTGATTATGCCACAAAGCCTGCTTTGTTTCAAGAAGATAGGTAAAGGGGCTTGGGGGGAACTAAACCCCAAATTCTTGAAAGCAAAACTCATGTTACGTGTATGTGTTACACCAGTGGGCTGAAAACTGCAGGGATGGTCGCCCCTGCTCAGGTCGCAAAGCATGCCAAGTTTCAAGAAGAAATGTGCAGCAGTTTTGGGAGAACTGCACCTCAAGCTGCTGACAGGCAAAACTCATGATGTAGGTGGGTGCTTGGGCAACTGCATCTGTCTTGGGGCACACAGGGGTGGAATCTAGTGCAGGCCTGGTTGCTGGGCCCTGCCAGGCTACAAAGCATGCCAGCTGTGTGTGTGTCTCTCATTGGGGGAATCTGTCTTCTGGAGCCCTGCACCTCAAGCTGCTGACAGGCAAAACTCGTGATGTGGGTAGGTGACATTGTGTGTGTGTTAAGGTGTGCCCTTCCTGGTGCTGGGGACTCTACACAACATGACAGTGGGCCCCAGTGAGGCCGCCTCCTCTCCTACAGTCTCATGCCCGGTCCACCACTTTACGTGACAACAGCTAAAATAACTTAGCTAGCTCAACACTAGTAGCAGCAGCAGCAGCATCAAAGGTACCCAAACAGAACTGTCACAGAGTCTTTACTTCTTGCTGTCAATTCCTTTATAAAAAGAAAGATGTTGTGTTGTGTTGGACATATGATGTCACTCATGGTGTGTGGTGGCTTATCTTGTGTTTGTATGTCTATATGTGTATTATGAAAGAAAAAGGAGTACTTAAAAATGTCTCTTTGGAAGCTTTAGGGTTGAAAACCCCTTTGTTAGGCTGAGGACATACCTGTAGTTCGTCCTGAAGGGAAGGAATGGTAAAGAAGCCAGAGGCTGGCCTGGCCCACAATTCAGTGAAAATGGAAATGGAGGTGTAAGGGGGTGAGGGA